TCACACACTGGCTGCAGAGGGAGGGGCAAGGGCCATTTTAAGGAAAATGCATGTCTAGGCAAACCTCACACATCATGTTTTCAACAGGGAGCTAGAAGTGCTGAGTTGCAGTAAGCTTCGGTGCACTACCACTATGGCTGATGGCTTTAGACCTGTGCTTTACAGCCAGTGCCACTGAGAAATACAGGCCCCGTCACCCATTTCCTGTTCACAACATGAATAGCCAAACACAAGGATGCCTAGGACAGCTTTGGGCACTGAAGGAAAAAAAAAAAGTTTGTTACAAGGTTTGAAAACTAAGGAAAAAGAAAGGCTAAGGATTTCTTCATCTGCCTTAAGAGTAGGCTGAGATAAAGCTGAAATAGTTATTTCAGCAATGAGCAAATACAGCTGATCGAGTGATGGAATATCACACCTTAGTAGTGTCCAACCCCAAGTTCACTTTGCTGGGCTCTTTAGCAAAGACCAGCTTATGGAAAAGAAGTTAGGAACTGGTGCATGGAGGAACAGGCAACAATAAAGGCAAAGGAGATGAAGGCAAATGTAGCACTGGTCCAGAGGCAGCATTAGTGAACTGGTAGCAAGTGCTTCAATCGTTGTTCATAACTAGCATTTAGTGCTTCTAAAACTCCTGACATTAAAGCCAATTTTTTTTTGGGGGGGAAGACATTTTATCCGCTCCAAGTGAGCCTGACATCCTGAGTGGCTGTAGCTATCGCACACAGGGATGAACATACCAACAGCCCTGTCAGCACTACTACAAAAACTGAAAGGGAGCCCAGGGAGGCAGGTGAAGCCACCCCCGGCAGGGCATGGCACACTGACCTTGCTATTCATCCTGTGGTAAGGAAACGCTCCTGTTGAGACTGTTCACATCCAGCATCTCCTCACTGCAGAGGCTTGCACTGCATAGTTGGAAAAAAAAAACAGCTAGATTTCATCTTCTGCAATTGAAGATGCTGTTGTCACCTCCCTGCATGGACTACGCAGGCGTTAGCAAGCAGCCAGGATCCCTCCTTGAGACACTCTGGAGATGACAAAATTAGCAAGAGTCCTATTTATAGGCATGGAAAAAATAATTAATTTTTTTTCCCCTTTTAATTGAAAATGTAAAAAGGACTTCAGCTTTAAATAAGACATTTTGTACAAAGCTTCAACACAAAAAAAAAAGTGAACACCAAAGTGTGCATTATGTAAACACCACAAATGTTACTCATTTGTTCAGCAATGCACAGAACAACGTGCAAATTCCCTTTCCAGTGGATTGGCTTTCTGTGGCTGTTCTCCTCCCTCCCCCCAAACCTTACTGGAATACAGGAAATCCAGAGGCTTTGGAACATTTACAGAGCGACAGTCGTTAGGATACAGTGTGACTAAAGTATTTTTTTCTTTTTTTTTTTCCCCCCCCTCTCCTCCTTTCTCCTTTAAGGACTGGTCATTTAAATATACAGAAGTATTTGTACAGTAATCTCACAGGTAAAAGAACGGCAGATTGGATTAGAAAAAAAGCACCAAAATATTTAATATACATCTGGCACAAATTCCACAAAAGTCAGTAATGGACAAACCAATACTTCGCTTATAAGAAAAGAAAAGCTCAGACTGCACTTAATGCTCTTCTTTCGAAAGGGGCACGACAGAGACATTGCACTCAGATTGCTAGCAAGCAAAGACAACCGGCTCGTCACAGCCTGCTCGCGCTGTGCGTTAGCTTGCCCACTCTCTAATACGCTGGTTCCGTTCTGCTCCCGACAACAACGGTGAGCAAAATTTGATACAAAAAAAAGGCAACTGCAAAACTACAAAGCAAATGGGTCTCAGCAGTAGATGCATCATCTTGAACTCCTCCCACTTTTTCCCTAGATCATTGTTTCAAATTTGGCCGTTTCCATTAAAAAAAAAAAAAAGAAAAAGAAAAAGAAAACCCACGCTACGTGAAAAGAGAATTTGCTCCAGCCGTTTCCGAGCGTTACATGTACACAGCGTTTCCGCCAGTGCTGCCTATCAGAGGAAGCGTGGTTCTGCTCCAAGACAATCAATACATTCATTGTTTCCCAGAGTGAAAAAACTGGATCAGCTGTGGTATATCTCTTAGGTTAAGTCCAAAAAGGCAAAAATGACTCCTGACACTTAACTATGGCAGATTTGATCCTATTCACCCTTGATATATAAGCGCTAGAAAGCTTGACCAGCTAGTTGCATTCACATACAATTCGGTGAAACAGGTTTTGCCTTTCCCTTTTTCCTTAGTTAGACGTAGTACCGTCTCTGGGAGAAGATGCACCATCAAAACACGTTCCTTCCATAAACAGTGACTTAAGACTAAACTGGGGCCCGAGAGCCACCAGCAAGGACGCCAAGAAACCCAACGGCATCAACTAGCGTTCTGGAGCTGCCCGGCCTGCCCCACGCGGCCTGCGAAGGCCTTGGCGCGCGGCTTCGTGCCTTCAAGAGCAGCCAGGTCAAATCCCAAAATTGCTGGGTTAGAACCTAATCCTGCAAGTTGCTTCCATTTCCCTGGAAACTCGAGATAATTCACAACGGCACAAGGCTCTCAAACCACTCCCGCCAGCCCCTTTCCTTTCTAAAAGGTTATTTTCACTTGCAGATAAGAACGAACACACATTTTTAAGATAACTATGCTTGGTGTGACCAAAAAGTCACAACTTCAAAATATGAAGGACCATGCTGTGAAGTCCTCTAACGTCACTTCGCGCGGGAGGAAAAGGCAGCGGCCAGCCTCGGACGGAGGATTTGCTCCACGCGCGTTTGCCACCTCTGGTCACGCGCTCCGGGCCCGGGGACGTTTGCCACCTCTGGTCACGCGCTCCGGGCCCGGGGACGGGCACGAGTCAGCAGCTCTAACTGCCGAGCGGGCCCCCACGCACGTAAACACGCTGATGCAACAGCGGGCAACCTTTAGTCCAGATATAATACAGGGGAAAAAAAGTTACACCAAGAACCATTTATTAGGGATAAATGTTATTTTTTTTCTGTCTGTGTGTAAAGTGACATGTTACCCAAAAAGGACTTAGCTGAAGGGTGCAATTACACAGAGATAGAAGTGTGTGTATGGGGGTGTATATATATATATATACCTATATATACACACACACAACATATACACACACACACACACAACAAAAGAAGTTGTACAACCTCCAGAACCTGTTAACATTTTGAAGTCTAACTACAAAAGGACTGAGGACTGCAGTAGTAGCGAGGAACTGCTGCAGCTGCAGTGATTTAAGGCAAGCTGTTGGCAGGGCTAGTAAATTCATGCTCCTTTTGCCTGTCCTCTCCTAAGGCCCCCCCCCCCCCCTCCGAAACATGTGGAAGAAAAATAGTGCAAGACTTCACATCCTCTAAAGCAGCCCTAACCTTGGAAGAATATTCTCGTAGCAGCGCTTGCTACAGCGTGGCATCGAGCTCAGATTCGTAAGGGCAGTAGCTGCGTCGTAGCCGCTTTGGGGCGGCGAGGAAAGGAGGCGGATGCGTTGCGTGAACGAGACACGCCACCTCAGTGCATCAACAAACGCAACCGCACCTTGGAGCCAGCGAGGCACCTCCGAGGCGCTGCAGAGCTCTCCAGCTCTGCTTTGAGCGTAAGGGCTTCGTCCTGGGCCTTCGGGAGCAAGGAGGATGCAGGGAGCCCCCACGCTTTTGCAGCTCCCAGTTCCGCTGGGTGTTTCGGGCGCAGCCCAACCCAGACCACGCGCAGTACCGTACATCGGACGACACAACTCATGGCACTACAGCACGTGAGGTCTGAACGTTTTTCAAGGGCAAAGGGAAAGGCAGACGGCTCTGCCTTGGGAAAGAGCTGCCCAGGCAGAGGAGGCCAGGCGGGGAAGGCGCCGGGCCGCCGCGCTCCCAAACGAGCGCCCTGGAGGATTTACGCTTTCGTCTGCAGTTTGACTTGGCTCCCTTTCAAAGGGTCGATTGCATGCAGTATACCAAAGAGTACGGCAAACAGATAATACTTAACTTGGGTCAATTAAAAAAAATAGATTACTCATCCAGGCATAAAATCCTGGAAGAAAAGGATGGTAACCTTAAAGTCTTCTAGTCCAAGAACAAGAGGCAGAGATACCTACGTACTTCATGGTGAAGGAGTTACAGCCTTCTGGCTTACAATCTCAGCTATTCCACTGCGGTTGACAATACAAATCCAAAGACTGTCTCTTCAGCAGTCCAGAGAGAAAACGTAACACTGGTGTTGGCGTTGGCACACGGCACAATTTATGCAGCCACTGAGCTTTCTCTATTAACTGGAAAGCTTCCTCAGCGTTTGCGTTTGGCAGCGTCCTGAGATGCGATCCTGAGGAACGCCAAGCTCCAGGTCAAGCATCTTCCATTTTTAACACGAAAGGCTAAATTCACATGCACGCGTTTTAAGCGAGGCGAGCTCAAGGGCAGAGCGCGGATCCCGATTTATGAAGGATTTTCTACGGAAGGACCACACCGCCGCGCCGGAGGCTGCAAGGCCCCGGAGTTCACGACGACTGTTCTCTGCCAACGCGCGGGAACGACGCGGCCTCAGCCCGCAGGTCCCACCCCAGCCGAGATGGCTCTTAACCACGCGGCGCTGCTTTGACTCTGCTGCCTTGCTGGAAGCAAGGCTCACAACGGCAAGGCAGACACCGGCGGTGACGGCACCATGCTAACACCGCAGCAGCCCCCGACCCCCCGCCGCCCCCCGCCTCCAGCGGCCCGCGGCACCCGTTTGGCAGACGCGCCGCCCCGCAGGAAGAGGGGCCACAACTACCTGCGACCAAATCAAAGTCGCTCCGTTTTCAGCCTACGAGGGTAAACGAGTTTCACGCTCTTACGTAACGCTTGGCTGAGACGCTACGTGGTTCAGAGGATGCTCCGTGAGCAGATCTGCTGCCCCAGCCTGCAGGCCAGCGCGCGCCCCGGGCCGCGGCTCAGACCATCCGCTTTCCCTCCACCTGCCGCACCTCCACGCACTTTCCTGTGGTCCCTGCATCGCACCTGCACAATATCAAAAAGCTCTAATTCTCCATATCGTATAGCACCGACAGCAGGAAAACTCACAAGTCAGCATTCAATTCACTCACTCAGCCATGTTTATGGCCAGCTACGGGCTGGATCCTTTAAACCCTAACTTGAATCGATAGCCTTTGACCTCAGGAACACATCCATGTAAATAAGATTCAGTGCAACGGAGCCTCCGAGTGCTTGGGGAGCCAAACTGTAAAGGTGCTGGAAACGGTAACGTTGTGCAGGTCGTCAGCGTTTTATCCCCAGGGAGTAAAGTTTACAGGAATTACATTTCTTCAGGTTTATAAGGGAAGACCACAAAATGCTAGTGCGGATACCAAACTACTTTTCCAGTATATTACTAAAACTGTCAAAATGCCTATCTAGAGTTATTTATCCCAAGTTGTAGTAGATTCACTTCGTGCATCAAGTTTTTTAATCCATACTCTTAAAAAAAAAATTAAATAGTTCCAATGGTTTCAAGAATTTCATGAGCATCACTGCCCACTTACAGTCCTCCGGCCTCCACATTAAAAGATTAAAATTTTATAAAACGAAGAGTGACTCTATTTGGCCTATTCCACAGAAACGCAGTTTAACCATTAAACAAGCACATTTTCAGAAGCTCCAATATCGTTAAAGACTTCCCGGACACACGCACAAAACCCCGCTGCCACCACAGATAGACGGACGTTAAGAAGTAAGGTCTGTCGTCGACAGAGGACCATCCCAGGCCAGGCCTGGCGCCCTCTTTCACCGTCAGCACCGCGAGAGAGCTGCACCTTGGCTTGAGCTCCCGGCTTAGCCGTTTACAGCCCAGACGACCTGCCTTGTACCTTGTAACCTGTAACTCAAAAATGAAGTTAGACTAATAATAAACGGCTCGCGGCTAGAGCCGTTGCTGCTGTGCCCAAGCACCCCAGGGGGCTGGAGCCGCTCCTCTTGGCCCGAGCGGCGGCACGGCAAGGTTTTCCTCCAGCGCCGAACACGCCGGGCGGCCGCAGCCGCGGAGGACTGTTCCTCCTTTGCCCAACGCAAACTAAGATTCTTCTCTTCCTGTCTACCCACCGCCGCCGTTCTTGGGGAGGGGGGGAACCCGGTAGTACGCTTGGTGTACTAAAGCGGTTAAACCTCGATGCGTTATAAACCAACTTCCTTACTGCAATCCACATCCAGACCACAAGATAAATACTTCCCTTAAAGAACTCCAGCCCTGATCCGCGGGAGCTGCTGCAGTTCAGCGTACAGGTCACTAGCAGCCCCTGCACTGACGTTGCGTGCGTGCGCGAGCACGGAGCATGCATCTGGGCAGTTCAATTTTCACATTTTTGACATTTTAAATTCCCTTTAGGAAAGAAAAATGAAGCAAAGAACAAGGCATTTAACAGCTGAATGAACGAGTAGTCTCAAATTTATAAATACAATCTTCCTTTACTATCAAGTCGGGTCGACATTTGCAACT